GCCTCTTTTTATAGGCCAAAATTAGAAACTATTGATTTGATTACTAATTAATAAATGGGTGACCAACTCTTGACTTGGTGACAATCCTTATCTTTTCTTGTCTGCGCAAAATATCATTGATAACATCAAAATTGGAATTATTTGAAAACATGAAATTGTAGAAAATTATCTCAACTTTCTTATGTAAAAAATTAAGGTTATTTGGACGTTTAGAACTCCAGATATGGGCCAAACACTGAACAGTGCTCGGGTTGGAGGACAAATTCGGACTTATTTATTGTTGCTCTAATTTGAACTTGAAACTAGCCTTTTTAAATCTTGGGCTCCATATGAAAGTTGTAGGTCTCTATCTTACCTTTCCATCTATATAAAATAGACCTAAATCGAAGATCTACATCTCCAGATATGACCTAATTACCAAACAGTGTTCCGGCTTGGACTGTACCAATATCTCTTTTCTAAGTTTGGCCATCTCTTTGTCTTTTCAATTTTAGTTCTTAAATTCATCAATCAATCCTTTCATTTATGTGACAGACCTGCATTTAAAATGAACATTTACCATAAATTAAAGGTATCTTATCTTATTAGATATGTTATTATAAAATATACTTTAGTTAATGAGTTATTGATACTTTAAGTGCAAAATGATGATATAAAACCTTGATAAAAATATACTTTTAAGTACTAATTAGAAGCAATGATAACAAATGAACCATAAAAAAAATTATTTTGCAACAAATGACAAAAAAAATACGCCACTAATATCACACCTGCAAGGAGAATTAAAAAAAAAACCGTTCAAGACTCATTGTCATTCAATCGTGGATATCTCCTACCACAAAAAAAGTTTGTTGAGGCATATCAAACCTCATTACAAAAGGGTTGTACAACGATATCAAAAGGAACTGCATAGACTACTAGAGTAACGACTCAAAAAAACAAATCAAACAAAACACAATGAAGTAATCATCCATTTATATTCAGTCAATCAATTCTATTTAATCCAAGAATTAAATTTATTTTTAAAAAATAAATCTAACAAAGATAACTCAATCAAATAAAAAAAAAGCAAATGATGTATAAAGCTGTAAAAAAAAAGGATCCAAATCTTCAATTAAATAAACACAAAAGAATGAAATTAAAAAAAAATTGTTTAAAAAAATGATAAAACAAAACCAAAGTAATCCCGGGTAAAATTTTTAAAGTTGGGTCAAGTTTTCAAACTTGTAACCCATGAAATTATAGATATGGGCTTAGCTAAGAAGTTAAAATCCAAATGAATTTAATCTTAAATGATGAAATCGAGTAAAAAAAATCAATTAAAAGTATAAAGATAAAATATAATAGGAAAAAGAAAGATGGAGGGTGAAACCATAAAAAAAAATAATCAAATTTTAAACTTATTTTAGATTACATAAATAACAACTAAAAGAATGAGTATGAAATTTGACAAAGAATTTTTTTTTGAATGAGGATAAAATTGAAATAAAATTCTAATTTTATAAATAATTTATAAAAAACCAATAAAAGAATATGGACTAAATCGAAAGAAAAGATAAGCTGAAGTGATGATTTAAAAGTTAAAAGGTTGAGCATAAACACTAAAGAAGAGAGAGGAAAATAATAGCTGTTGACGCTAAACTAAAGTTCTTTTCAATGCATGAGTTATTTTGTTATAAAAAAAATATTGAGACTAATCAGACATCATTTGAAAATAATATTTCTTTCTAGTAGAGTCATTTGTACACATCATCCAAAGACGATAGAGTAGTTAACATGTGCTCAACACAAGTCAATTAATTTATTATTTATTTACTTTATATTTACTAATTATCAATCTGTCCCTATCCTAATCTAATAATAACAAAAAAAAAAAACCAACAACATAATGAGTTTTTTATTATGTTTATCTAAAAAAATCCCTTTTAGGTAAAGGTTTCTTCACTAGAAAAGTAAATTGATAATTTTACTATTCACTTTTACATGAAAATACAAAAAAAATCCTTTATGGCAACCTAACAATTCCTCACTGTTAAAAGTATTGATGTCATTTTATTATATAAATAAAAAGAAACATACTTGTTTTGTTTGTGATTAGTTCTAAAATACCAAAATAATTATATTGCAAAGACACATTTACCCTTTAACATTAGCCTATGAGGTTTTTTTGAAGGGCAAGATAGTAAAACATTATTTATGTTCACAATACAATATGTATAGATAAACAACATTTTTACCATCCTTTCCAAAAAAAATTAATGTTTTTAAATACTAAAGATATTTTCAATAAGAATCGATCATCTTTTCAAGAGAAAATAGTTAATTTCATATTATTATCTCATATTTTAACAAAACAAAATCTAAAGGAAATAAATTTGTTTTACATCTAATATATTTTTGGGTTTGTGATGAAATGCTTTTTGTTTGAAAATGTATTATATTTTTGGGTTTGTGATGAAATGCTTTTTATTTGAAAATGTATTAATTTTTTTATTTTTTTTATTTTTGGTATTAATATATTAATATCATAAAAATACTAAAAAAATATTAATTTGAAGTACTCGAACATAATTTCAATTAAAAAACAAAATATACCTAATTTTAAAACATAAAAAATAAAATAATTTGTGAACGGTTAAAAAAATCAAAGAAAAAAAATTTGTGAACTAAAATAGAATAATTTGACAAATCTAATCAAATAATCAAGATTGATTTGTTCATGATCTCTTTCATTCAATGATTTCTTTATTTAAGTCAACACAATTCCATGTATGATGGTTGCATTATCGATCAAACCCTCTTTGTATTAATAAAATTTGCATAAATCAAGAAATTGTGTCATACTTTCATTATTTCTTGCCATTTCCACCCACAACCCCAAGATACCCTCAACAAATTCAAAAATCCCTCAAACAATAACTCATAATGAACCAAATATACCCCCACAATCTAAGCCCAATCTGGTCACCGTGTTCCTCAAAACACCAAAAACGATCCCTCGCATTGCTGCTCCACCGCCTGCTTTAACCTTCCCTAGACAAATAACAAACACTAAAACAACAAAACGCCTGCCCTCTCTATCTATCTCTGTCGCTCTGTCATTGGTCTTTTGCTTTTCCTCATCTGTTACTCTGTTTTCTTTCTCTGCTGTTCTCTCCCCTATTCTTCGAAGCAAAAGTAACGCTAAAGTTTTGATTTTTGACCCGCAAAACAGCAAAGAAACAACCCCATATAAGATTACACAGTCGCCGGAAATGTTGCTTCCGGTGCATTTTCCGGCATAAGAATCAAAATGCAAGAGACCCTTTTAGCTACACTATCAGAAAACCCCAAAACCAAAGCCAAAAACAAAGACGTTTCCTTGCTAGTCACCTCGCCGTGCCATATTGTCTCGACGAGAACCCGATCCCAGCCGAACTCGCGGCGCGTGACGCCAACTCGCGACTCGATTACCACCACCATTACCGCTAGTGTCGACACCAGCTGTGCCTTGGTGGAGAAGGTGCTGCCCAATGGGGATATTTATACCGGGGGGTTGGTAGATGGTGTTCCACATGGGAAAGGGAAGTATTTGTGGAGTGATGGGTGTATGTATGAAGGAGAGTGGAAGAAAGGGAAGGCTAATGGAGGGGGGAAGTTTTCTTGGCCAACAGGAGCTTCTTATGAAGGCCATTTTAAGTTGGGGAAAATGGATGGTTTTGGTACTTTTATTGGTGTAGATGGTGAAGCTTATAGTGGAAATTGGGTGAGTGATAAAAAGCATGGGTTTGGTGAGAAAAGGTATGCTAACGGGGATGTTTATCAAGGTTTATGGAAGTTTAATTTGCAAGATGGAGATGGGAAGTATAGCTGGAGTAATGGGAATGAGTATATTGGTGAGTGGAAAAACGGGGTGATTTTTGGGAAAGGGGTGTTGGTTTGGGATAATGGGAATAGATATGAAGGTTATTGGGAAAATGGGGTGCCGAAAGGGAAAGGGATGCTTACATTTGGTAGTGGGAATGCGAATGGGAATGGGAGGGTTTGTGGCGGCGGAGAGGATCTTAAAAGAGTGGCCTTGGATCCGGTAGGAGGGGGAGGGAGGAAGAGATCATCAGTGGATGGTAACTTTCCGCGGATATGTATTTGGGAGTTGGATGGAGAGGCTGGTGATATTACTTGTGATATTGTTGATAATGTTGAGGCTTCAATGTTTTACAGAGATGGTAGTGATGATAATGGAGGTGGATGTGAGGGTAATGTGCAGCAGCAGCAGCCAGGAAGAAGTCCTTGTAGTTCTGTTGATTGTGAGGTTAATAAGAAACAAGGACAAACGATTTCAAAAGGGCATAAGAATTATGATTTAATGCTTAATCTTCAACTGGGTGTCAGGTAATTTGTGAGCTGGCTAATGTGGTTTTTTTTTTTTTTTTTTCTTTTAATGAGTTTGGATTTTATAATGTGTGTGTTTTTTAGGCATTCTGTGGGCAAGCATGCGTCAATAACAAGGGAATTAAGACAGGGTGATTTTGATCCCAAAGAGAAGTTCTGGACAAGGTTTCCACCTGAAGGATCGAAGTCTACACCTCCGCATCAGTCTGTGGATTTCAGATGGAAGGATTACTGTCCCATGGTATTCAGGTATTGTTTTTAGGACGTTTTAAGTTTTGCTGATATTTGGAATTTGTAATGTTTTATTACTTCACTTTCAAATTTTCTTTTGAATAGCCAAGAAAGGAGATATTAAATCTGTCTCTGATTTCCTATGTTATGGTGGTGGTTGGTTTGTTTGGTATTTAGACATTTGAGGGAATTGTTTGCAATAGATCCAGCGGACTACATGCTAGCTATTTGTGGAAGTGATACACTTAGGGAATTTTCCTCCCCTGGGAAGAGTGGAAGCTTCTTTTATCTAACTCAAGATGACCGTTTCATGATCAAAACCGTTAAGAAATCTGAAGTCAAGGTTAGTCTCAAATTCTTCATTCATTATGTTACAGAAAAGAAAATGCATGAAAAGTGATTATTACTCGAGCAGTATTAAGTGGGATGAGTGTTTAGGTTCTGTACACAAATTAAAGTTTGTAGACACTTATTTTTAACATGCATTTTTATCCTGTGAATAGATTTTCACCACCTTTTATGAACCTTATTCAGGTTCTCATTAAGATGCTTCCAAGTTATTACCAACATGTTTGCCAGTACAAGAACTCATTGGTAACAAAGTTCTTTGGTGTACATTGTGTTAAACCAATGGGAGGTCAAAAGGTATAATTGGGATAGTGGATTATTTCATTCAGATCATTTCCAAAAATGCTTCAAAATGCTTACCTTCAATCTGATTGTTACTCACATTTCAATGTAATTCCAGACCCGTTTTGTTGTAATGGGCAATCTGTTTTGTTCTGAGTACCGCATCCATAAACGCTTTGACCTGAAAGGTTCTTCTCATGGACGTACAACTGACAAGCCAGAGGGTGAAATTGATGAGACAACCACACTTAAGGACCTTGATCTAAACTTTGTATTTCGCCTGGAACGGTCATGGTTTAATGAACTCATCAGGTAGATTCCACAGCATTGCAGTTTTTTTTTTTTTTTTCAAGTTTCGTGTCCTTTTTCTTGTTCTCCGTGGGGCATTAATCCTGCCAAGTTAAAATATGTTTGTCTTCTTTCTTTCTCAGACAAATTTATAGGGACTGTGAATTCTTGGAAGCGGAGAGAATTATGGATTACAGTCTTCTAATTGGTCTTCATTTTCGTGATGATTACTCAAGTGATGAGATGATGTCACTAAATGACAAGCATTTTGGTAAATTTCTTGTATCCTGTGATTCGGCTACCTTGCAAATTTACAACACAACCTTGAGCTAATTTGGTTTTGTGGTCCTATATCAGAAAAAAGAAATTCACACAATGAGGAAACATCGATGCGTGGTTATCATTTGCTGCCCGATATGGACTGGGTCATAGAAGGCAGGTACGTATTTTCTTTTTCAGAATTCATGTTTTTTTTCCTCCTAATTGTTAGTGCTTTGCTTTGTTTCTGCTTTATCTTTTCCAAATCTATTTTCCTTATATTACTTTTTAGGATTTGTATTTATTGTCATCAACTAAAGACAATTTTATATCCTCTCTTTCTTGGTTGCATAGATTAAACATCTTCCATGCTATCTCTTTTATGGGAATGTGTGCATGTGAAGTGGTGACAAAGAACTGTGGTGAAAGATATGAATGATCAAAATATATGATTATTGCAAAAATTATGCATAGAGATGTTAAACAACATGATACATTATCTATTTGAAAACTGAATCGTTTTCCTGTTGTTGTGTGCTGGCTACATTATACAAATCAGATAACCCTTTTTTTTTAAAATTTGGTTTTTGTTGCCATAAAAAGTCTAAATGTTGGGACCCTTCAAGTGCTATGGCATCTTCTTTTCTACTAGGTATGTGTCACATGTTTTAACTTTAGTTGTTTATGGACCCCAGAGTTTGGTTTTGAAAAGCAACGAAGAATGCTTGTCTTAAAATATCAACATATCATTTGTATATAGCCAAGAAAATAAAAGATACAGTGCACAAAAAGTGAAACTATAATTTGTGATTGAGCTTTTCTTTTTCCGTAGTGAAACATTTTCCTTTTCCCACGTAGGAGCCCTGTATTTGATGATTTGTTCCTTTGAATTCATTCCTGTTTGTTGGAATGACTCAAAGCGACTTAAGCTAATGGCGAAATTGGGGGTAGTTTGTGGACAGCATGTATTAGTGGGGTCTTCTTTCTTTCTTTCTTAGATAGAAAACAATTTTTGTCTGGTCCTATTCCAATCCATTTTAGAAAATCAAAGATAAATCATGAATGTGATTGACAACTGAAGCGTTAATCTCCATGTATGCCTCAATGATACTTGTATCTATCCCACAAATTTTTTGCCAATAATTTATTGGACTAATAATGACTTCGAAACCGTAGCTGCAAAACAATGCTATTTTGTCTGCCTGGAAGCTTGAAAATTAATGATGAAAAGTGCCTTCAAAACATAAAATTTCAGTGGTGAATGAGTGATAATCGTCCTCATTATCACTTTTTGTTCTTTATTAGTTTGATTATTTGAATTTTGGTGATTGCGTGTTGGATTGCATTGCATTGCATGTACTAATTTGAAATCTGTTCCAGGGGGCCATTTATCCGACTAGGGGCAAACATGCCTGCAAGAGCAGAGCGTCTGTCGAGGAATACTGAATTGGATCAGTGCACAGGGAGTGGAAGCAACAATTCAACACCTTCACAGAATGGTACCGAGATCTTTGATGTAGTTCTCTACTTTGGTATCATTGACATCCTCCAAGATTATGATATCAGCAAAAAGCTAGAACATGCATACAAGTCCTTGCAAGTGGATCCCACGTCTATCTCAGCTGTTGATCCCAAGTTATACTCGAAAAGATTCCGAGATTTCATACATAGAATTTTCATAGAGGACAAGTGATGAAGGGAAAGAAAGGAAAGGAAAATTATACAGAATTTAACACTCAGAAATTAAACTCCCAGCGACATACCGGAAGAGCTCTTGCCGGATTTTTGAGTGATGCATATGTAAAGAAAGGCTTATTGATTGCTGATGCATTGGATGCGTTGAGGTGTTTAACGTTTGAGGCTAAATTTTTTAGATTAGCCATGGTGTTTAAGTGTCAACTACGGACAAGATGTCAAGAGATTAGGTGAGCTTGTATAAATCTGAAGAGTGAAGGCAGGTAACTACAGCAGTTTGTTTTCTTGAGTTGTGAGCAGCCCTGGAATGTGCTTATCAGCAAGCACAGCATAGAAAGTAGAGAAATGGTTCTGGCAAAATTGGGGAGGGATTGGAAAAATAAATGTACAGTCAAAAGTTAGTGGGGGTAAATAGTATCTTCTCTGTAAAGAGAGAGAGAGAGAGAGACATTATGGGAGTGGGAGTGAACAAAATTCTTTTTGATGGCATCTATTTAAAATTTTGAAGAAGATTGTTTGCCCTAGTGAGCAAGACAAAAAAAAAAGAGCAAAATATTCAAGCCCCCCTGCCTTTTCTCTCCTCTCTCCTATTGATTCAAAATCAGGTGGGGTGTTTGCTTTTTGCATTGAACAAGCCATTAAAAGAAGAGAAAGGCAACGAGAAAGATGTGGGTGTTTCCTTTGGCTCATGTCGATCTGTCTCTATATTGGAAGTTTGAAAAGCACAAAGAAGACAATAATACACTTCACACTTATATCTTTTTGCATTCTTTTGAACAATACCAAGAAGGCTCAACAGTACAGTAAAGCAATAGGATGTTGATGGGTGGTCGTGGCATTTGCTTCTCACTCATGGGCCATGCCAAAAACAGTGCCATATGCCGCCTAACAAATGATGGATTGTATAGTTGCCTACTGAGGCATATAATTCATTCAATGTGACCCCAAATGTGATTTGCCATTGTCATTTACACTCCAAGATGCTAGTAAAGAGCCCCAGTAAGAAAATCATTAAAATTGAGAGTTCAATTTGCTAAAGGAGAAATCTTATTACAAAAGCTTGAGTGAGTAGTTAGAGTAATAAAAGATATTCAAGAAAGGATGAACACTAATAAATTGCTACCATTAACATATCCTCTACTATTAAAGAAGAGGACAACAAGCTCAAAGCTCAAATCAAGATGATAGTTTAACTGATAAGGAAACAACAACAACACAATGCATGAATGCATCCCAATGAAAATCTCCTTTTAAAGAATGTACAAGAACATATTATAGTCTTGATACTTTGTATAATGTGAGGATAAATGTAGCTAGCATATTCTTAGGGAAATTAATCAATGTATTCCATGTATAAGTACAATCATATCATGATGCAAATTGCTCACAATTGTAGGCATCAAAATTACAATGGTAGTGCACATATATGAGATGCATAATTCTAGCTTTTTTTCTTGGTACCAAAGCCTATGTGAACACTTAGCAACCATAAAGAAAACAACAAAATCACTTTCCCATAATGATTTCATTATCTTTTAATGTTAACAACTTTATTACTCTCAAATTTAACTAAACAAACTATCTCTAATAGCAAAAACAAGCCTTATCTCTTGTAGAAATCTAGAAAATAATTGACCATCTATCCAATGAAGAGCATATTCCAATGCAATACACCACATAAGATTAATGCTTATGACTAAAATCTTGTAAGAGGATTTAAATAATAAGCTTTGTAAAGAAAAAAAAGGAAAATGATCACATTATCTTGGACATCTTACCCTTATTGAAACAAATTGGTCTGTTTTCATGACACGACTAAAAGATTGATATTTTCTCCCAAGTGCAGGAGTGTCGAAGTAATAAATAACCCGGCAAGACCGGAGTCGAACCACAGGAAGGTTAATTGTACAAATTATAAATAACAATAATACAACAACAATAATAATAACAACAACAA